CAAAGAGTTTGAAGGCAATTGGAAAGTCTCTTTGGTTTCTAAATGTATCTTTTTGTGCTTGGATTGAACGTGTGCAGATAGGAAAGTTGAATGGCAGATCCCTGATATCTTCTCAGATTTTAGTTTAGCAATAGAGTTACCATTGATTGTTGAAACAGTGTAAGTTCATATCAATTGTTCTAGTGCCCTGCCTAATTCAGCATTAATCTCAGAATTCTCTGTTTTTAATGAAGTAGTTATTCTAATATCTGCATTCCCCCAAGCCAGGATGGGTTTGGTAGACCCGCATGGTGGACTTCAAACTTCTACCCCACTCTTTCATAACAGTGTGAGAGATGCTTATTCAGTTATATCAGGCAGTGTTCACTCTGCAAACAAAAACTACATCAGAGATTTGAAGAGAGGAGAATATAGAGAATTGTTAAGTAATAGATTTTTAAAAAACTGTAATGGGAGCAGATGTAGAAGGTACAAAAGAGAAACTGCCACTTCATGTCTTGGGGTAAGTGGACAAAAAGAACTAAGGACTTAGGAAAAGACATATGCTAGGGACTGTAATATGTCCTCACAAAATTTTTATGTAAAATCTCTATCCCCTAAGATGATGGCATTTGGAGATAGGGCGTTTGGGAGTTGATTGCGGTAAAATAAAGTCAGGAGAGTTAGGCCCTCTTGAAGGAATTAGTGGCATTAAAAGAAGAAGAAGAGAGAAACTGCTCTCTCTGCCATGTGAGGACCTAGCTAAAAGGAGGCCTTCTAGAAGCCAGGAAAAGAGCTGTCATCAGAAACCAAATCTCCTGGTACCCTGATCTTGGACTTCCCAGCCTCCAAAATGCTGAGAAATGCCAGTTGTTTAAACTCTCTAGTCTATGGTATTTTATTTTTATTTTCTGAGATAGAGTCTCACTCTGGTGCCCAGGCTGGAGTGCAGTGGCATGATCTCAGTTCACTGCAACCTCTACCTCCTGGGCGAAAGCGATTCTCCTGGCTCAGCCTCCTGAGTAGCTGGAACAACAGGCAGGTGCCACCATGCCCAGTTAATTTTTTAGGTTTTTGTTTTTGTTTGTATTTTTAGTAGAGATAGGGTTTCACCGTGTTGGCCAGGATGATCTCGAACTCCTGACCTCAGGTAATCTGCCCATCTAAGCCTCCCAAAGTGCTGGGATTACAGGTGTAATCCATTAAATATGGATGATAACTAATGAATCTGTCTCTCTTTTCCTGATCCTCTCCAGAATCCTTCATTTCAAGGATAGCATGTAAGAAATTCGCTGATAAAACATTGTATGCTTGGTCACAAGCAGCTAGAGAAAGTAAACTATTTCTGGCCAGGCACAGTAGCTCACGCCTGTAATCCCAGCATTTTGGGAGGCCCAGGCAGGTGGATCATGAGGTCAAGAGATTGAGACCATTCTGATCAATAAGGTGAAACCCCATCTCTAATAAAAATACAAAATTAGCTGGATGTGGTGGTGTGTACCTGTAGTCTCAGCCACTTGGGAGGCTGATGCAGGAGAACTGCTTGAACCCAGGAGCTGGAGGTTGCAGAGAACTGAGATCACACCACTGTGCTCCAGCCTGGGTGACAGAGCAATACTCTGTGTCAAGAAGGAAAAAAAGAGAGAAAGAGAGAGAGAGGGAGAGAGGGAGGGAGGGAGGGAAGCAAGGAGGGAGGAAGGGAGGGAGAAAACTACTTCTGAAATCAACGCTAGCATTGGTGTGAGAGGAATTTTATGCTGCATTCCCCAACAGCCACTAGATGTGCCAATCAGATGTGCCTGTTCCATGCTATGGCCTGCAAATATCAGGTCAACATCAGCTTGTGCAGAAAACCCAGAGGACTGGAAACCTCCCTCCAGTCCTCTGCCCCCTCCATCTCCTTCAACACAGAAGCTTCAAATCAGGAAAGGAAAGGCCACCTTTCATATGCAGAACCACATCAGCTTCTGGAGGAGACTGTGCAAGCACAGCCTCTGTCTTCTCAGCCTCCAAACCATCCCCTGCTTTGGACCCCTCCTTTGCAACTGTGGCCCTGCAGCCCTCTTTGAAAAGAGGAATGCAAAAGCCTTATAGTTCCCGTTTATTGATGCATAGAAGGAGCAAAGGCTCTCGGGGCTCCATCCAGGACTCCTGGAGAAGGTAGAAACACTTGCTGAGTTCATGGAGCCCAGATGCACCTGACCTGAGGTCCATATTCCAAGTGCTCATCCCTGGGTCCAGGATGATGTGCTTTTGGTACCGGAAGTTTCTGAGTCGCACTTTTCCAATGGGAGAATAGCCAGAGAAATCCGACTTCATGTTAAAGGGAGTCAGGTTTCTGGTCCATTCTCCTCCTGCACTGTGGTGACAGCTGCCCTTCTGGTAGGTGCTGATACAGGCAAGTTTCACAATAACAACAGGAAGAGATTACCTGTGGCTCTCCTGGATGTACCAGGCTTGTTTGAGTAATTTTCCAGTTTTTTGCATTACCAGACATTGGATCCATATTCTACCTTGTTGCTAGCTACAAGAACTTATTAAAGTTACTTATCTGAGTCTCAGATTCCTCACGAGTTTATTATCCCTGAGGATTAAATAATCTATGTAAAATGTTCAATGGAGTAAACATCTCTGAAGAGGTGAGATCAACTTTTTCCTAGAATTCAATTCTAAATGGAATTCACTTTGTGGATACTTACAAGAAACACTACATAGTGTAATGGAAATGTCTTAGTGCAATTTCACAAAAGACGTGGAATCATTATTTGGGAGGTTGGACCTTTCGCTGAAGGGTAGTTGTTTTGATCATCTCATATTCACCTTGTTGGTGAAGGAGGGATCTCCCCCACTAAATAGTAGGAGATAAACAGACACACAGCATGAGACAGGGACAGATGAAGTTGGCTGCCATTTATTAGTCACATCTGCTCACAGCCCAGGAGGGAGGACACCACATGCCCTACAGGGTCACAGGAGAGCTGCATTTGGGAACAGAGTGAACCAGCAGGGGCTGTGGGAGGCCGGCTTTGCACTACAAGAGGAAGAGATGAACCCAGGCTCCTCCAGATGTGACAGGCTTGTTTGAATAATTTTCTAGGCTGGTGGGGAATTGAGCCAGGTTGAGACCCAGGTGGGGTACAGCTGACTGGCTGATTGGAGAGCTAAGAAAAGTGAGGAGCCTTCCTGCTCAGTGGGTGAATAGGGTGCACATATCTAACAAGAGCAGAGGACCACACTGCCAGGCCTTTGAGACACTGAGAAGCCCACAGATGTCAAGCTGCACAGGGATTTCAGGCCTTACAAGACAGAAATAAAATATTGAGTGATAACCCTTCAGATACAACAGGAAACATTCATATTCATTTCTCTAGGAACAATATGCATATTGTTTTTCTCTGATTTATGATTTACATGGCTAAAGCCTGATTACATTATATTTCTATAACAGATAAAACCATTATCATTCATTTTCATAATTCATTATTAATATGATTTGATTATCCTCATTCCAGGAAAGAGGAAAAAGAAACACCCTCCTGCTTGGATAGTTAGAGACTGCTCCATTTATATTCCCCATTCCCAACTCTTACTCCACTTGACTGGACTATCCTCAAAGCAGTGCAAAGAGGCGTGTGTTTCCCTGAGGAACAGAGTGCCACCCAGTTGCCCCTGTCCGTAACACTCAGAGGCTCTCTCTGCAGTGGAAGAATCACATGGACTCATTACTCCCCACCTTCCTGTCTTCTTTCCAAGTCCAAGTGTTGGGCAGAGGAGGAAGAGAAATGAGAATAACAGCAACCTCTGATACTCTCTCTTTCCTCTCTCAGCACACATACAACGTGGATGTTTCCTTGTCATCCTCAGTTCCATTCTCTCCCTGAAGCTAAGTAACTGGCTTGGGTACAAAGGGGAAAGTGGGCCAGTTATGGAGTGAAAATATGGGTTGTGAAGTTCTGAGGGCTCGGGGTCTTTCTGGCTGCAAGGGGGTTGATGGAGTAAGTCTTTTTTAGCTGTGCCCTAGAAAACAATGTAGCTCTCCCTCTTCAATCTAACTCATCAGTGTGTTCCCTTATCATTGATCACAACTGTTGCATTTTAAGCCTGTAAGACAAATGGCCACAAAAAGCTTAGCTTGCTGTTCAAAACATATTTTAAATAATATAGAAAGACATGTGATGTATACACATGAAGCTATCTCAAACTGCATTACTGTGAATAGAACATATCTCATCATCTCTGCCTCCTGGTAGCAAGTGTAAATTTTCAGAGGAAGTGGATGGTTGTACACTTGAATAGGCTTGTGACCCACTGATCCCTGTGAATGCAAACTATGAATAAAACAGAAGGCTGGGCGGGGTGGCTCACGCCTGTCATCCCAGCACTTTGGGAGGCCGAGGCGGGCAGATCACTTGAGGTCAGGAATTTAAGACTAGCCTAACCAAAATGGAGAAACCCTGTATCTACTAAAAATACAAAATTAGCCCAGCATGGTGGCGTATGCCTGCAATCCCAACTACTCAGGAGGAGAGGCAGGAGAATCGCTTGAACCTGGGAGGCGAAGGTTGCAGTGAGCCAAGATCGTGCCATTGCACTCCAGCCTGGGCAACAAGAGCGAAATTCCAACTCAAAAAAAGAAAAAAAAAGAAAGAAAGGAAAAAGAAACACCTGGGAAATTGGACTGAATTCTCACTGGTCTCAGGTAACTGCTCTCTCACCCTCTGTGCCAGCTTCTGAAGAACTGGTAAAATTCTGGAATAGAAGTTGCTTCTGAAAATTTTTCTTTTCTTTCTTTCTTTTTTTTTTTTTTTTTTTGAGACAGAATCTTGCCCTGTCACCCAGGCTAGAGTGCAGTGGCATGATCTCGGCTCCCAGCTTCAAGCAATTCTCCTGCCTTAGCCTCCCAAGTAGCTAGGACTACAGGCATGTGCCACCATGCCCAGCTACTTTTTGTATTTTTAGTAGAGATGGGGTTTCACCATATTTGGCCAAGCTGGTCTCAAACTCCTGGCCTCAAGTGATCCACCAACCTCAGCCTCCCAAAGTGCTGTTTGCAGGTGTGAGCCACCGTGCTGGACTGCTTCTGATCATCCTGAGTCCTGCTCACTGTGCTTCCTCCACACTCTCCATTTCGCTTTCTATTGTTTCGTTAAAAATGGGTCCATATATGTCAATACTATTGAACAGAGAAGACAGAAAACAACACGTATCTTCTTGTACTTGAGAAAACAGAAGCATAGCAGACTGTGAGGGTGTCACCATACACAAAATGAGGAGACAGCAAATACCTCTGACAGTTGGAATGTGTTGGTGGGGGAATGGAGAGGGGGTAATACCTCATTTCAAACAGAGGAGTTTGACCAAGTGGTCATAGATACCACCTGCAAAGTGACCACGAAATCCTCAGAGACTATCAAATAAAGACCGTAGAAAACATTTAACATGCAAACACACACAAGAGTTCTCAACAAGGAATTTCAAAATTAGGTTCCTAATATCTCATTTTTGACTGCTGCAATAATAAAGTCACTTTGGGTCACAGGCACACTTTAAAGAGTAGAGGAAGTGCAGATCACTAAGAGAAAAGAGAAGGGCTATATCCAATGACTACCTATGGAGAGGAAAATCGGCCACAGAAGAGAACACTATTGGTTTTGATGTGCTGGATAAAGAAGAGGAAGGGATGGTCTGCACAGAACCTGAGGGTGTAGCTGGCACAACAGTAAACTATTTCGTCTTCTGTAGCTGCTGCCGCTTCTGTACCTTCCTCATTGACCTCCACAAAGGACTTGTGCATGACCTTGGACAAGTACAGATCCTTCTTAGATGACATTCCTGAGAAGTCTGCCCTGTCCTGTTCAAAGGCATCGACCATGCCCATACTGCGAAGGACATCCGCCATGTTGTAAGATTCCTCCAGTTTAAATCTAGGAAAAAAAACTTCCATCTCTCGTGCTTGCAACTTGTCTGGCTTTGTCCATTCTACGAATCTCTCATAAGAAATTTTTTTCTCAACCTGGAAGAAGAGTGTTGGATGTTTTAGGGTCTAGATCAGTGTTGCCCCAATACAGTTTTCTGCTATGATGTTAATGACGTATGGCCATGGTGCCAAATGTGATAGCCATGAGCCAATATGGCTATGGAGCACTAAAAGTGTGTGTAGTATAAAGGAAGCCTTTATTTTTAAAATTGTATTTAATTTCAACTAATGTAAATGTAAATAGTTACAGGTGGCCAGCGGCTACCATATTGGACTGCATACATCTGGGAGACAGCACAGTAATGCTAAACCATTCACGTATGAATTGATGTTATATTTCTGTGCTTGTGTCTTCATTTCCAGAAACTAAGTCAGAACGTTTCCCTGAGGCAGAATTTTACAATTTGGCTACATTTGCATGAGAATGGCTCTTCTCACAAAGTTTGGTGTTGTACCTGAACAGAAGCATGTTGAAGTAGGACCTCTCAGACTTGCCTTTTCTTCCTTCCAAACTTTCTTCCAACAAATCCCTCATCATTTTCTGTTAATTTAAAATCCAAAATCTCTCTCTCATCTGGCCCTTCCTCCATCTCTGCCCCCCTTGTCATGTTTTGTTTGAAAAGCATAGCAACCTCCTTTCTGACCTATCTCCATTCTTGACACTTCCAATTCATCCATTGCAAGCATAAGGATTCGTTTGCTAAAAATTCGAATTACTGTCCAGCTAATGTTTTTCACTGACTCTCTACAACCTAGCTATTCAGTGTGGTCCATGGGCGAGCAGCCTCAGCATCGCCTAGGAGTTTGGTGTTAATGCAGATTCTCAGACTCCTCCACTCCAGTCCTACTAAACCAGAATCTTCTTTCTAACAAGATCCTTAGGTAATATGCTGAGTCACAGCAGCTGCTCCCCAGATGACTGCTTTCTAAAGAGCAAACTCACAACTATGGGGCAAGGTTGTGGAGAAGACTACTAATAATAGTCAATGGCATACTCTGAGCATGGAAACAAATACATTTTATACACCATGCCTTGCGTTCTACAACATCCCTCATAGGGAGGTCCTGCCACCACCTTCCATAGGAATAAGCCTGAGAGAGTACAGATTTCTAACTTGTCAAGTGGGACATTGAACTCTGACCTGGTTTGGCCCCAACCTGAGCCCATTCTAGAATAAGAGTATTTTCTAAATTGCATTCAACACTTAGAACACCATCCCACTGGATGTAATCACAAAAAGAGAAAAGGGCATATGGCCCAATAATTCAGGGAAACACTGGTAAAAACAAATTTTCAAGGTTTCTTTTTTTCCTTAAAAGCTTGTGAGAACCTTTACTATGATGAAATGCATACTTTAAACACTCTTTACCATTTTCAAATCAGTGTTTTCACTGGGAAGTATGATGATCATATTCAGCTCCTGTCCAACATAGGGAAGCACTAGAATTTGGCTGGATATTTTCCTTACATAGGTGGTTTTAAAAGTGGATTCCTTAGACATCATTTGCACAGGTTTTTCTTTGTTCTAGAAAGGAAACATATATACATTAAGTTGAAGCATAAGAGTCAAATATTGGACATAGTCAACAGAGTTGGCCACTTTCTGCCACTACAAACGCTTTCCTTCGTTGGTCTCTAGAACCCCATATTAGACACTTCCTTTACGGCTCACGGTCATTACTTCAATCTCCAAACACCAGGGTGCCCAGGGCTCAATCCTTACCTTGCTTTCTGTCGGTGATCTTGAAGGAGATCAGAATATGCCACTCTGAAATATACCACTTTGGTTTAAGAATATTTTGAACTGAAGGCATTAGAGTTCCCGAAATATCCTATCTGCCTAAAAGCAGAACCTCCCAAAAGAACACAATTGTCATTATTCTCTTCCTCAGTAACAATTCTAATTTTCTTAGAGATGAAAACTCTGCACACACCCATCATTGTCACAAGACTATTACCTCTGCCATTGATTCTGCTCCAAAAAGACCCATGTATCTTTTCACAAAAGGCATTTGTTTTTCCCAAGTGCCCTTTATTCCCCTCCCTTTCTCCTACTATGTTGGGTAAAAACACCACAAATTCTAATGACCTCTTCGAGTTACTCATCATTGAGTTTTCCCATGTACATGTGTGATGCACAAGTTAATAAATTTCTGTTTGTTTCACTCTTGTTAATTCTTTTTTGTCACTCTACAGGGACCCAGCCAAAGAACTTGAGAATATAGAGGAGAAAGATTTCTTTTCTCCCCTATAATTTCATTTAATCTCATGAATTTAAATATAAAACCCAAGTCTGCACCTCTGGCCTGGATCTCACCTTAGTAGTCCAGTCTCATCCATTTCGCTACCTACTCGACATCAGCATCTGAACATACAAAACAAACCTCCAGTCTAACTTGTAACAATGGGCTCTTCACAATCCCTTCCACATCTGCTCCATCTGTTTTCTGTCCCATCTCAGTTCTTGGGGACACCATGTTTCCAACTATCAGACACCCTGAAATTAACCTTGACTCCCATCTTTGTCTCACACCACATATCTGACACATTAGCAAATTATATCAGCCCCATTTTTACCATGTAACCAAAATCTAACCTGTGCATCCTACCTCCACTGCTATCATCCTAGTCTGGGATGGTGCAGTAAACTCTTGAGTGATTGTCTTGTTTCTGTCCTTATCCTCCTTGTGATTATTCTCAGCACAGGAGCCCGAGGGACCCTGTTAAAACATGTCATATCACTCCTCAATTGAAAATCCTCCTGACTCAGAGCAAAAGCTGAAGTCTTTGAAATAACCAGTAAATCGTGCCAGGAGTTTGTCCTCCACTGCCTCTCTGATCTCATCTTATTGCACTCCCTTTGCTTGTCTGCTACAATCACAGTGGCTGCTTCACGGATCCATGGACAAACTATCTCAACTCTGCCCACTGAACTCATTCCCCCAGAACCTGTAACACATATGACCTTACTTCTTTCTGTCCTTTTCTCAAACACCATCTCCTTCAGTGAGGGCTTCCTTGCTGACCCTTACCTGAGGTTGTGCTGCCCAACCTAAACTTTCCTTTTTTTTTTTTTTTTTTNTGAGACAGAGTTTCACTCCTGTTGCCCAGGCTGCAATGGCATGATCTTGGCTCACCACAACCTCTGCCTCCCAGGTTCAGGCGATTCTCCTTTCTCAGCCTCCCTAGTAACTGGGATTACAGGCATGCTCCACCACTCCCAGCTAATTTTGTATTTTTAGTAGAGACGAGGTTCTCCACGTTGGTCAGGCTGGTCTCGAACGCCCAATCTCAGGTGATCTGACCGCCTCAGCTGCCCAAAGTGCTGGGATTACAAGTGTGAGCCACCGCACCCAACCCCACCTCAACTTTCTATTACCTTTTCTTTGTACCTGTCTCCATACCACTGCTTTTAAATATGTATTTACTGTCTTTCTCCTCCAAGAACATGTAAGCTTCATGAGGAGAGGGACGCTTTGCAGATTTTGAACAGGTCTGGGATAGTACCTAATACGATACATGACACATAGTGAGCACTCAATCATTATTCATTAAATAAATGAATAAACAAACTTAACAATAAAAATACTGAAAGAAAAATTAATACAACTTACTAGAAGAACACTGCACTTGTTTCTAACGCATAGTCAGACAGTAGAAAAGATCTGAGGACCATGATTATGTTATGCTCTGCACAATAATTCTGCTCAATTCCTGAGTCATTTGTAAGTTAATAGTAGCAGCTACTGTGAATTTATTGAATATTAGAGTGATAGTCAAAAATAGTTTATAGTCCCAGTTCTCAGATATATAATTCTATATTAAATAAATGAACCCCAAAATATTTGTGTTTCAGCTTTTATCTTCACATTGTTGCTCACACAAACTAAGGCTCAGCCGTCAATATCCTCTTCTTCTTTAGTTCTGTCACTTTTAGTGAGGCTTCAGCAAACTTGTTTCTGGAAACGGCCCAATAGTAGGCATTTTCAGCTTGGTGTCTGTACAGTGTCTGTTGCATCTACAGATTGAGTATCTCTTATCTGAAATGCTTGGAGCCAGAAACATTTCAGATTTGGGATTTTTTTTCAGATTTTGAAATATTTGCATTATACCTACGGTTGAGCATTCCTAATCTTAAAAATCTGAAATCCACAATGCTTCAATGACCATTTTCTTTGAGCATCATGTTGGTGGTCAAAAAGTTTCAGATTTTTTGAGCATTTCAGATTTTGAATTTTCAAGTTAGGGACACTCAATGGAACTTAACTTTGCTATTTAAAATCAAAGCACCTATAGATGGTATTTTAGCATATGAACATAGCTATGTTTCAATAAAACTTTATTTATAAAAATAAATGATGGACTGGATCTGACCATTGGGCATTGTTTGCCAACTACTGGTCTAGGAAATTCCTGCCCCCACTTTCAGATCCCGAAAGCTCTAGTCTTGCAATATAAAAGCATCCACACTTGGTCATTTGCAGTAACTGAATGATTTACTAAATATGCAATTATATAGGTGGGTTTTATTTCATTTTGTAATTAAAGAATTAAAATGAAAATTTATAACATCTCAAACTCTGTGCCCTTTGAGAAAGTACATAGGTTGGTACACTTACCACTAATTGCAACTTGGGTTTTTTGTGTGTAAAGACTAGAAAGCAAAACGGAAATCTTCACCTCCTTATAGCATAAAATAATTCTTGCCAGTGAGAAAGAAAAAAAGCTTTCCTTCATGAGAAAAATGCCAGAACCTCAGAAAGAGAAGATTTACTCTTCCCCCTCTGTCAATCCTGCTTTCTCTTGCCTGCACTATGTGTTTAATGTCTGAATCAGCTTGTGAGCATGAGGAATTAAGTCATGGAAGTAAAGAAGACAGAGCAGAAGAGAGGGTGAGTCCCTGAAACCTTCTCTTACAACCCACATCAGGCTTGGCCTCTGCTTACCTCCAGAATTCCTGTTGTGGAAGAAGAATATCAGGAGTTTAAACCTTGTGTGTTGAGTTTTCTGTCAACTGCGGCTCAATGAAATCCTAGCACACATCTTGTTTTAAAAAACTTAAGGACAGAAATAGTTTTCCAGGGGAAAATGGAACAGTTCATTTCAAAATAAAGCTAGAAAGAAAATACATTCCTTGAGAAACTAAAGACTCAATCAGGCGCAAGTGGGCATGGAAGATTTAACCAGTGATTAATAATTAACTTAATCTATTCTACTACTTTTGAATATATCCAGAAAGTTCTAGAGTTAAACGAAAAAGAAAGAATAAAGCAGATTTAGAGAAAGACAAAGGGCCTTTTGCAAATAATGTATTCTGAGTTGGAGGTAGCTAAACTCCATGTCTGTCCTGTGTATGTGTTTTTGCTCACCTGTTTTTTAGGTAAAACTTTGTGCTTATTCATCTTTATTATCAACAGAAGACTGAACATAATTTATTGGTTCAGTACTTGTTGAGCACAAGTGTGAGCTAAGCACTGGTAAGGTAGCATTTTCTCACTCAAACAGCAACAAGCCAAGTGGGAAAAGGAACACCTGATTCAACCACTGCAATGCCACCACAGAGTGGAAGGAATCGCTGTGACAGCTTGGACGAAGAGGCAGCTTGGGGAGGTGCATTGTCAAAAGGCTTTCCAGAAGGAACAATGAATGAAAGAAAGGAGCATGTAGGTACTGATGAGAAATGAAGATAGAGAAATATGCGAGATCCAGATTACGAAGAGCCTCACACATCATACCATTCATTTGAGTTTATCTCCTAAGTTTTGGGAAGCCAAGGACTATACACTCGAGATAGAAGCTGGACCGGAAGCCTGGGAGTATGTAGCCACTGTTGATGAGACACAAAAACGAGATGAAAGGTGGAGGAACGGCCCACAGGTTTGGAGGGGAGTCCTGCTGCTGGATGACCAAAGGGTCATGGTCAAATCTACCAAAAGTCATGTTTTAAAGCCAGTATGAAGACAGAGACTGCTCCCAAGAATCACCCTTGAAGTTGCAAAATACTCACCTTGCTAATTTTAAAAGACATTTTCCTGGTCCTGTGTTTCTCAAACTGACTCTCCCAGTTTCCTTTGAAGTAGATGGCATTCACAAGAATCAGTTTAGTCAATGAATCAACTGAGTCTGGAGAGAGCATCTCTGTAATTTTACCTGTAAAGAAGAATTAAAAAACCATTTAGCTAAAAGTATTCCCAGATGATTGTATCAGGAGGGATATCCAGATCATGTCATCTGTTTGAGAAATCAAGTGTGCATGAAGGTAGTTCATGGTGTCCCAAAATAAAATCATGTAAAGGGATGCTTATCCTCACAACAACCACAGTAACAACACTACAATAAAAACTTGAAATAGAGCTCTTGTAATAAAAAAAAACAAGTAGATATTAATGAGAAAAGGATGATCTGATAATATATAGCAGGGAATGATTGGTGCCCATGGCTTAAAGAAAGACACATAAAAGATTGGCAAAAACATGAGTAGTTGTAGCAAGTATAAGAACATTTTAAGAACTAAAGATTTAAAAAGGCAAGACTGGCTGGGTATGGTGGCTCACACCTGTAATTCCATCACTTTGAGAGGTCGAGACGGATGAATCATTTGAGGTCAGGAGTTCGAGACCAGCCTGGCCAACAAGGCGAAATCCTGCCTCTACTAAAAATACAAAAAATAGCTAGGCATGGTGGCAGGTGCCTGCAGTCCCAGCTATCCCAGCTACTTGGGAGGCTAAGACAGGAGAATTGCTTGAAACTGGGAGATGGAGGTTGCAGTGAGCTGAGATCGCACCACTGCACTCTAGCCTGGGCAACAGAGTGAGACTCTGTCTCAAAAAAACAAACAAACAAAACAAACAAACAAACAAAATATGGCCAAGCATCCAGCCACATTGCACAGATAAACCATAGAGCATAGGCAATGGAGAGGGAGTCCTTTAAATTCCAAAGTTAATGCTATGTGTTAATAGAAACCCCACCTAATATTAACAATAAAAATGTGCACGTTCTTCTGGAAGAGATGCACTGCATATTGAGAGATAGCACAGATAGATGATAAGCGCAGGGATAAAGCTAGAGAAAAGCTCTACACTCCAGCAATATTTCAGAAGCAAGCTCTTAAAGTTTGCGTAGTTATTTAGAGAAAACTGCACTCCTTGTCGTATGTGACAGTTTTATAAAGAAACTGGCTGTATGACTGTTTAAAATGTTATTGAAATAAAATAGCAATATGTTTTCACCTTCAGTTTTTTCAGCAATCCAGGTGTTTATGTGTGTTCTGGATGTCTCTGTATCATTGAGAAAATCAAGCTGTTTTACGTTTGCCTGGTAGAATTTACCACAGGAATCTGTAAAAGACTAGGAAAAATTGAGCAACATAATTTCACAGCTAACGAAATAACACCAACAACTTACTTCTTCATTGTGACACATCAGAAAATCAATAATTTTATCATTTACCATATATAAATTGCAAATGTGAGAAATTAACATAAAGACCAAATTCTTTTCAGCTATTCTTAATCTTAGCTTATAAACTAAGTAATATAATGATCTACATAACAAATAAATTTCATCAGCTGCTGGATCTTTCAAGAGAGTGGCAGTGCATCAGTGAGATAATAAAAGGCACTGAGAAATCTCCAAGGAGACATAACAATCCTTAACATGTAAGCACCAAATAGCGGAGCATCAAGATACAGAAGGCAAAAACAGAACTGAAAGGAGAAATAGATGAATCCACTGTGGTAATTGGAGACTTCAAATGCCTCTATCAGTAATGGAAAGATCCAGAAAGCAGAAAATGAGTAAGAACATAGTTGACCTAAACAACAATCACCAAATAAGTAGATATAATTGTCCTTGACTACTTCATCTAACAGGAGCAGATTACACATTCTTCCCAAGCTTACGTGCAGCATTCACCAAAATAGACCATATTCCGGGCCATAAAACACAACTTATCTTATTTAAAATAATAAACATCATGTAATGTCTACTTTCAGACTACAATGGAATTAATCTCGAAATCAGTAAGAGAAAGATCGCTGAAAAATTCAAAAGTACTTGGAGATTAAACAGCACACTTTTAAATAACACATGAATCAAAACAAAAATCTCAAAAGACACTAAAAACATTTTGAACTAAATGAAAGTGAAAACACACTGACAACACTAAATGCTGAAGAAAGCATGGAGCAACAGGAATCCTCATTCATTGCTGATGGGAATGCAATATTGTACAGTCACTTTGGAAGACAGTCTGGCAGTTTCTTATAAAACTAAAAATATGATGCAGCAATATGACTCAGCAGTCATGACCCTTAGCATTTACCAGATTCGGTGTTGAGAAAAACCTGCACACAAATATTCATAGCAGCTTTATTCATAGTTGCCCAAGGTGGAAGCAACTAAAATGTCGCCCACCACTCTGGTGGGGATATTAATTGACAGGAGAGGTTATGCACGTACATAGCATATTCATGATGGGAGAGTTCATTATGGGAGAGTTAATAATGGGAGAGGCTCAATTTTCTGTGAGCCTAAAACTGCTTTTAAAAATAAAGTCTTTAACAAAAAAACTTCAAGATACTTTGACTATAGAATCTGTTGCTTTGTAAACCATTAGATTTGTTGAGTAAGGATTAATACAGCAAGTGCTATGTCTACATCTACATTTTAGAATAACAGAGTATAAAACTGGATCTGTTGTTCCATAAATTAAGTGAGTAGAATATATACTACTACACCAGCAATTTCTATCAGAACTTGCTACAATGCTGGGAAAGTTTTAAATCTGCAGTGTCCAGAGTGGTCCCACATAGAGCTATTGAGTGCTAAAAATATGGCTAGTGGGACTGAGGAGGTAAAGATTTACTTTAATTACATTGAAATGTTCATAACCACATATTACGAACATTCTGGATGTTTTCGAGTATGATAAACTTTACTAAAGAGTCCAAACTGTAATCAGTTACTCTATGGAATTACAGGATATTCATGAAGACCTACATTATGCTATATAAAAGCAGAATCCGTGGAGGAAATTAAATGGATTGAAGTAATTAATTTGTTGTCTGTGCACTATGGAATTGTTTCCTAATCTTTCTCTCCTATTGCTCACAGGTAAATATTTAATTCCCCTATTCGGGTTTTGGTTTTTATTTTGGAATTTTATACTTCCTTTTCAGTACAGCATTGGAGAAGAAATATAGCAATAGTTATGAACACAAGTTCTGCAACTTACTAGTTGTGGGATCTTCAAAAAATTTCTCTTTATGCCTCCATGTTCTGTCTGGTAGAACAGGGAAGCAGTAATACCTACACCTCACAAGATTACAGTGAATACCTGATGAATTATTTTCACTTTTTCATGTAACATTTTTGCATTTTCATGACATTGCATTGCATAACTGATCTATGTACATCATTTTATTTAGTCCTCCCACAATTCAGGCTTTGCCAATTTGGAATTTCTCAAACTAAGAAAACAATCAGAAATAAAACTGATAAATCACATATTGATGACTTGTTGCAGCCCTAGGTGATGTTTTCAGCTTTTAAACATTTTAAAATAATTAACTGTCAGCTAAATTAACTTACTATTTTAGAAGCCATGAAGAATACCACTAAAAGAACATCTAATTATCTACTGCTATTGGTCTTGGATTTTGGAAATAAGAATAAATAAATGAACAAGAAATTAAGGAGAAATAGTTAAGTATTCCTTATTTTTTTATTCGTATTACAATATCAAAATAACATCTTAAACATCAATTATTTTCTTAAAATATCTACCAACAGTGTATATTTGTATGTTGGAGTTTTGTTTTTCTTTATATAGAGGGCTAATAAAAGGTGTTAATAACCTAAACAGTAGCTAAGACTATTTAAAAAAGTGAAATATAAAATCACACTATAATGTACAAAACTTATAACTATTTAACTTTATGCTTCACAACCTTTCTTGTATACCAGTTTGTTTTGAAACAATTAATTTAGATTCTGAAGCAAGTTTTAAAAATAATGAAAACATCATATAACACAGTAAGAGCGATATCCCAAACATAGAGAATTCTTGTAAATCAGTAAGAAAAAGACATCCTGCCCCATGGAAAATCTGCAAAGGAAATTAAACAGGTGATTCACAGAAAAGTTAGAAATGTTCAATTCACATAGAAAAGCTGTTCAACAATAATAATACATGGACACAGGAAGGGGAACAACACACACCAGGGCCAATCAGGGGTTGGGAGGTGAGGGGAGGGATAGCATTAGGACAGACAGCTAATGCATCTGGGGCTTAAAACCTAGATGATGGGTTGATAGGTGCAGCAAACCACCATGCCACATGTGTACACTTACATAACAAACCTACACATTCTGCACTTGTATCTGGGGAACTTAAAGTAAAAATTTTAAAAAGTGAACTTAAATTTTACATTTTGATCTATAATATAAACAGCTGATTAAGGAGTTTGATTAGAAAAAAAAGGGAAAAGCTGTTCAATTCCATTAACGATCCAAATGGCATTTTTGGTGCTTTCTTGCTTTATGGGTATTAGCACTTGTCTATCATATATGTTGTAATCTTTTTATCTGAGGATATCTTTTTTAAACTGTTATTTTAGGTTCGGGGATATATGTGCATGTTTGTTATATAGTTAAATTGCATGTTGTGGGGGACTGGTGTACAGATTACTTTGTCATCCATCACTAATAAGCATAGCACCTGTTAGGTAGCTTTTGAACCTCAACCTCCTCCACCCTGCATGCTCAGGCTGGCCCTGGTATCTCTTGTTATTTTCTTTGTGTCCATGTTTACTCAAAGTTTAGCTCCCAACTACAAGTGAGAAAATGCAGTACAAGTATTTGGTTCTCTGTTACAGGGTTAATTTGCTTAGGATAATGGGCCTCCAGCTCCATCCATGTTGCTGCAAAGGATATGATCTCATTCATTTTTATAGCTTCATGGTATTCCACTGTGTATATGTACCGCATTTTTAAAAATCCAGTCTACCATTAATGGACATTTAGGTCAATGATATGTCTTTGCTCTTGTGAGTAGTGCTGGAATGAACATACCTGTGCATGTGTCTTTACGGTGGAAGAATTTATATTCCTTTGGGTACATATCCAATAATAGGCTTGCTGGGTCAAATGGAAATTCTGTTTCAAGTTCTTTGAAAATCTCCAAAGTGCTTTCCACAATGACTGAACTAATTTACATTCTCACTAACTGTTTATTTTTCTCTGAAGCCTAATCAGCATGTTATTTTTTGACATTTTAATAATAGCCATTCTGACTGCTGTGTGATGCTATCTTATTGTGATTTTGACTGGCATTTGTCTAATGATTGGTGATGTTGAGTATTTTTTCATGTTTGTTGGCAACATATATGTCTTCTTTTGAAAAGTGTCTGTTTATGTCCTTTGCCAACTTTTTAATGGAGTTATTTGTTTTTTGCTTGTAAAATTAAATCCTTTATAGATTCTGGATATTAGACTTTTACTTAATTTATAGTTTGCAAATATTTTCTCCCATTTTATAGGTTGTCTGCTTACTGTCTTGATAGTTTTTGTGTGTCTGTTCTGTGCAGAAGTTCTTAAGTTTAAGTGGGTACCATTTGTCAATTTTTGTTTTTGTTGTAGTTGCTTTTGGTGTCTTCATTATGAAATATTTGCTAGTTCCTATGTCCAGGATGATATTTCCTAGACTGTCTTCCAGGGATTTTATAGTTTTAGGTTTTACATTTAAGTCTTCAATCCATTTTGAGTTGATTTTTGTACATGGCATAAGAAAGAAGTCCACTTTCAAAATTCTGCATATGGCTAGCCAATTATCCTGCCAACATTTCTTGAATAGGAGTCCTTTCTCCATGGGTAGTTTTTGTCACATATAGAGATGGTTGTAGGTGTGTAGCATTATTTCTGGCCTCTGAATCCTGTTCCATTGGTCATTGTGTCTGTTCTTGGACCAGTACCATGCTGTTCTGGTTACTGTAACCTTCAAATATAATTTGAAGCCAGGTATGTGATGCCTCCAGTTTTGTTCTTTTTGCTCAGGATTGCCTTAGCTATGTGGGCTCTCTTTTTGGTTCCATGTAAGTTTTAAAATAGTTTTTTTTTTTTTCTAATTCTGCAAAGAATGTAATTGTAGTTTTATACAAATAGCATTGAATCTATAAGTTGCTTTGGATGGTATGGCCACTTTAACAATATTGATTCTTCCTATTTATGAGCATGAAATGTTTTTGCATTTGTTTGGGTCATCTCTGATTCTTTGAGCACTGTTTTGTAATTTTTACTGTAGAAGTCTTTCACTTCCTTGGTTAGCTGTATTCTTAGGTATTTTTTTTCTTTTTTCTTTTTTTTTTTTTGTGGATACTTACAATGAGATTATGTTATTGATTTGACTCTCAGCTTGAATGTTGTTGGTATATAAAAATGATACTGACTTTTTTACATTGATTTTTGTATTCTGAAACATTGCTGAAGTTGTTTATCTATCAAATCGAGGAGCTTTTGAGCAGGACTATGGGGTTTGCTAGGTATAGAATCATGTCATTTGCAAAAGAGGATAGTTTGACTTCCTCTCTTTCTGTTTAGATGCCTTTCACTTCTTTCTCTTGTCTAATTCCTTAGGCTAGGACTTCCACTTGAATAGGATTAGTGAGAGAGGGCATTCTTGTTTTTTTCCAGTTTTCAAGGAGAATGCTTCCTTCTTTTGCCCATTCAGATGTTGGCCGTGGGTTTTTCATAGATGACTCCTAAAATTTTGAGGTATATTCCTCCAATGCCTGGTTTGTTGAGGGTTTTTAACATGAAAGAATGCTGAATTTTATAGAAAGCTTTTTCTGCATCTATTGAGATGATCATGTAATTTTTTGTGTGTTCTGTTTATGTGGTAAACCACATTTTTGATTTGTTTAAATTAAGTGAATCTTGCATCCAAGGGGATAAAGCCTAATGGATAATTTTGGACCAGCTGTTTGAAATGCTGCTGGATTCGGTTTGCTAGTATTCTGCTGAGTATTTTTGCATCTATCTTCATCAAGGATATTGGCATGGTACTTTCTTTTTTCTTTCTTTTTTTTTTCATTCTGTCTCTGCTGGGTTTTGGTATCAGGATGATGCTGGCCTCATAGAATGAGCTGGGGAGGAGTCCCTTCTCCTCATTTTTTTTAAAAAATAGTTTCAGTAGAAATGGTACTAACTCTTCCTTAGACATCTGGTAGAATTCAGTTGTCAGTCCATCTGGTCCTGACAACTGGTCCTTTTTCTGGTTGGTAAGCTTTTTATTACTGACTAAATTTCAAAAGTTGCTATTGGGTCTGTTCAATGAAGATTAGATTCAATCTTTTCCTGATTCAATCTTGGGAGGTTGCATGTTTGCCAGAATTTATTTATTTACTCTAGGTTTTCTACCTAATTTATTTACTTATTTCTAGGTCTGCATAATAGTTTCTGAGTGCTTTCTGTATTTTTGCAGGGTCAGTGGTCATGCCCCTTTGTCATTTCTGATTCTGATGAGTTCTCTTTTTTTCCTTATTTGTATAGCTAGTTGTCTATCTATATGATTAATTCTTTCAAATGACTTGGCAAATTTTGTTTTTGTTGCAGTTGCTTTTGGTGTCTTCATTATAAATATTTACTAGTTCCTATGTCCAGGATGGTATTTCCTAGGTTATCCTCCAGGGATTTTATAGTTTTAGGTTTTACATTTAAGTCTTTAACCCATTTCGAGTTGATTTTTGTACATGGTGTAAGGAAGAAGTCCACGTTCAAAATTCTGCATATGGCTAGCCAGTTATCCCAGCAACATTTGTTGAATAGGAACTAATCTGAGCATTACATCTTTTTCCATTTGTTTGTGTCATCTCTGACACAAATCTGAAACATTAATTCTTTCAAATTAATCATATAGATAGACCACTAGCCATACAAATAAAAGATTCTGGATTCACTGATTTTTGTGTGATTTTGTACATCTCGGCTGCCTTTAGTTCAGCTCTGGTTTTGGTTTTCTTGTCTTCTGCTAGCTTTGGGGCTGGTTTGTTTCTCTAGTTCCTTCAATTGTAATGTTATGTTGTTAATTTGGAGTCTTTCTAACTTTTTAATATGGGTATTTAGAGCTATAAACCTCCCTCTTAACATTGCTTTGGGTGTGTCCCAGATACTCTGTTATGGTGTTTGTTCACATTAGCTTTAATGAATTTGTGGATTTCTGTCTTAATTTCATTATTTACCCAGAAATCATTCAGGAGCAGGTTGTTCAATTTCTACGTAATTGTGTGTTTTTTGGGCAATTTTCCTTACATTGATTTCTATTTTTATTGTATTGTGGTCCAAGAATGTGGTTGGTATGATTTCATTTTTCAGAATTTGCTGGGTATTGTTTTATGCCCAATTGTGTGGTCAGTTTTACAGCATATGCCATGTACAGATTAGAAGAATGTATATTCTATTGTTTTGGGGTGGAGAGGTCTGCAGATATCTATTTGGTCCATTGATCAAGTGTTGAGTTCAGGTCCTGAATATCTTTGCCACCCAGGTGTTTCTGGGGACAAGATAAAAGTACACCCTCCAGTTGAGTTCACACAGTAGTGGGCCCACTGGGCCAGAAGCTCTACCAAGCATTGTCCTCCTGGCTATAAGTGGTGGGTGGGATAATGCACCTTGCCATCTGGGTGTTTCCTGGGAAAACATGAGGCTGTGATCCCCAGGTCAGTTCACACAAAAGCAGGACCACTGGGCAGAAGCTGGCACCAAGCCCTGTCTGGTAAGAAGGGGTGGAGCAAACTTACTGCTCCCAGGCACTGCAACTGTGGCTTCTGTTGGGGGTATGGCACCAGTGATGGTCTGCTTCGGGGTCCAAGGCTTATAGTGGTCTTCTTGGATTTGAAAGTTGCCTCCACCATACGTCCAGGTGGCTCTCTGCCTCAGTCTAGAAGTGCAGCGGTGGGGTGCTGGGGGTCAGGGGGATTTTCCCCTCTCAGTCATGCACAGGTCCTGGGAGAGAGCATGAATCCCCCTGGGGGCTCTCACTCACTCGCCCTTTACTGTGTTGAAGAGAATCTCCTGGCTTCATGGTGAGCTTAATCGGACTGGTTCCTTGATTCCTTCCTCTCTGCTCTCTGTGCACCCCTCCTGCCTTGATGGAACCCGATGTAATTTCTCAGATGATTGATCAGTGTGCAGGGTCAATGTTCATTAGCCTTTCTATTTATTCTCATGTGGTACATATGAGCTGCTTCTAGTCCGGTATCTTGTCCCTGCCCTTCAAAAAGTTTATAGGTTTACAGAATGCAGTGCTGTTGATAGTAGGTGGAAATGAGCACCACACACATATCCTTTGGGGAGTGTAAATGGCTACAACACTAGTAATAGTGATTTGACAATATTTATTAAAACTTCAAAGTCTCATTCCCTTCCTCCTTTCTGCATATCCATTTTAGATAATAACTAGTGTACATGAACACAAAATCTTGTACAAGGGTATTATTGTTTGTAATGGCCCAGATTAAATACAACCTAAATTCTCATCAGTAAGGGAAAGATTTACTATATCTTGGTACAGTCATACTTAGGAATACCAGAAAATTGGTTTAAAAAAGTGATATAGATATGCATGTGCTGAGATGAAAAGAATTTAAGGCATATTGTTAAGTAAAAGGAAATAAAGTATAAAACAATATGTATAGTATATATAGTATAATAACAATGTAGGGAGGGAACTTCAAAAAGCAGCACTTCTGTATGTGAAGCAGAGTACACTTCAAATTTATAAAAGTTCAGACATTGAGAAGGGGAGTATTGGAGTTAGAAGTTAATGAGGATTGCTGATTTATATGCATTAGTTGCATTTTTGTTTAACAAGAAATTACTTGAGCACCTTTGTTTAAAAAAAAAAAAATCATTAAAGCCTTGTCAACAAATAGAGCCAAGGTAGTCAGCTAAAATATGTTTTAAAAGATTTGCAGTGTCCAAAAATCATATCAAAATATTTAAACGCATAAAAGGTTAGAGAAGTGTCACCATGCACAAAAAGTTAACAACATCTGCAAAGCAATTACTAGAAATACGCATTCTGATCATTTCTTTGTTTTGGCTGATTCATCTCCAATTGTGCTATGCTCCGTGTCAGTCAGTTCTTTTATAAAGATTAACTCATTTAAGCTTCATGAAAATCTTGTCAGTATTTGCTATAAGACTTATTTTACAGACAGTAAAATAATCAGAGGAGCCGTGTGAGGTTAGGGAATGAAGCTGTGAATTCTGGCCCACCTGTATGAATTCGTAGCCCACGTTCTTTCTACTACTGTCCATCACATTACTCTCTTTATTTTTTTTTAATAAAACACAAGTACAACTTACTGTGTGGAAGTCATAAGACTTTTCTCCAAAGAGCCTGTTAGCAGTTCTAAGCAAATACTGAGTGTCAGTTCTGTTAATTTCAGCAAGAAGTGACTGAAAACCTTGGTGAATATCTCCATCTTCACTTCCAATTTTACTAAAAGAGAGTGCCTGAAATAAAAATAATAATAATAATAAAATACACAGATTCTGTATTCCCTGACTTCAAAAATAGGCACGATGCTAAATTCAACATTAAGAGATTTTCAGATCCTTTCTATGGCATAAAAGACGATTAATCTAATTTATATGGTTTAGCTACGTCTCCACCCAAAATCTCATCTTGAATTGTAATCTCCATAATCCCCACATGTCAAGGGTGAGACCAGGTGGAGGTAATTGGATCATGGAGGCAGTTTCCTCCATGCTGTTCTCATGACAGTGAGTGAGTCTCACGAGATCTGATGGTTTTACAAGTGCCTGACATTTCCCCTGCTGGCACACACTCTATCCTGCTACCCTGAGAAGAAAGTGCCTCCTTCTCCTTTGCCTTCTGCCATGATTGTAGGTTTTCTGAGGCCTCCCAAGAATGTGGCACTGTGAGTCAATTAAAACTCTTTCCTTTATAAATTACCCAGTCTCAGGTATTTCTTCATAGCAGTGTGGGAATGGACTATTAGATAGAAAGTGTGTTGAAATCTACCCAGTCTCCCTACCGATAGCTCTTCTTAAGCCTCCCTATAATCATTTCCTATGGAAAACCAAAGTTATCTAAATATTTGTATGACTGGATATGCCTTTTACAAACCCAAGCAAAATGATTCAGGTTACTTATGCTGTTTGTGATACTTTGTCTAAAAACACAGCTGCCAACCATGTGTTCTATCTCTGCATCTACATGGTGCTCCTGACACCAAAAGATGGAGTCTCTCTTCCCTTTTCTACGACCTGGGACGGCCCTGTGACTTACTTTTAATAAGAGAATGCAGAAGTAACTCCGTTCTAAACCTAGACCTTTAAAAGCCTTGCAGGTTCCACTTGGACTCTCTTATAACTCAGCTACCATGGTGTAAGGAAGCACAAGGGCCCTGGAGGAATGAAAAGACTTGCTTGTAGGATACTTAGACCCCAGCTACCAGGCAGCACCAAAGCCTAGGCATGTAAGTGAGACCTTCTTGGACCCTCTAGCCCAGCTCTCTGAGGAAATACCCACAGGAGTGACCTCAGGACACCAAAAATGGTCAGGCAGTGGTAACACGCTCCATCCTGCTAACTCTCCACCCACATCCCTGTGATACTGGCAGAGTTAACTGTTAAAAGAGGAATCTCTTTGAGATTTGAAACATGAAAGACCAGTGCTACTGACAAATTAATAGCAGTTATTGTTGTCTTGAAGTAGCTTTAGGTACCTGAGACATCTGAGCTGCAGTGTTTCCCTTTGCCCCCATGAAGACCATGGCCAAGGCTGATGATATGCTCATGGGTGAAAAAAATATGTTGTTCAAGTTGTTTTCCCCTAGCTTTTTCAAAAGGTTTAATGCAAAGGTCCCATTTGCTTCTGATAGAGCATCCATGACAGTGAACCTGAAACAATGGATTTAAAAACAATATTACATCAATATGGGCTTCTTATGTATTGCATTTTCACTTTATTTATTAATAGTCTAAACTGGGACTTTTGTTGCAAGATTTCATTTAATCCATACAACCTGATGTGGTAGGTGCAGTGAATATTTGCATTTTACAAACAAATAAATGGAGTCTTCACTGTGTCAATATCTTGCCTCTGAGGACACCCAGTTACAAACAGCAAAGCAGGATTAAGAGCCAGGTCTGTGGCTGCTGAGGAACCCTGTAGCTCTAGGGTTCCTCTTACCCTCTTAGTCACCATGGGTCAAGGTCTTCTTAAAAAAGAGAAGAAGAAAAAGCAGCAAGTTAAAGCTATCTTTTTAAAACATGAAATTTGTAAGTATAGAAGATATTAATTTCCAGTACTGGTAAAATAGGTGTTCCTTCCTGTACTCTACAACTGATTATGTAAATTAGGACACCAATATTTCCAGAGTGTAATTTAGAATTATGTCTTTAAAAGGAAGGAAGGAAGAGAGGGAAGGAGGAAGGGTAGAAAAAAGAAAATGCCAAAAAAAATATTTATACATTCATAATAAGAAAATTCATTCCAAAGAATTTCACTGAAAGTAAAACTCACATGCACTGATACAAAATGCTATGCAGAAAGATGACAATTGAAGCACTTCATATGCTACAGAGATAACCTTTAAATGGCCTACCACAGAGAACCAGTTAGATTCTGTCACATGTGTGATTAAATATAAATGAAGATTAATATTAAGTGTAAATTAGAAATAAAGTTCCACAAACGTTAAATTCACAAATAAACAGACTAGAAGGAAACATTGAACATAAAATATTTCTGGGCAATGGGTAATTTTGACATTAGTTATGTCCTTCTGTATTTTTGCATTTTTGGCAATATGCGTATATTCTTTTTAGCGTCATTTAGTCAGTTTTGCTAATGAACTGGCACTTAGTTGTAAGTCAAATAATTCCAGGACAGACATTGTACAAATCAACCCAGGCACCTTCCCATGTCTCCCAACTTCCTAGAAACAATCAATCACAAGTCAGCTTGCTCTTTCTCCTGGCATTTACCTCTAGGTGTAGGTATAATACATGTATACTACTGATTTTGACCTAACAATTTTAGACATTATCTATTGCCTTCCTTATTTAGGGAATTACATCACTAACTTCAGTCACTATGCTTCACCTCCTCTATCTAAGTGCTTGCTTTATTGCATTTAAATAGTATTCATAGCTAAGCCAAGCAGCGAACAAGGAATCCATTCCTGTTCTCACATAACGCTGTTCTTCCTTATGTTAATATTGCTTCCACCCCACCTTCTTTGGCTTTCATTGTATATATAGCAAATTCCCCCCAAGTGTTCCACCAATCAGTCAAAACTTTTCAGTACTATAATTTCTTTATATGCTCAACCACATATAAATTATCTGTCAGTCCCACTGCTCATCTCCCACAGTCTCTCACCCTGCTGGTGAGTGAAGGTTTCTTTAATCTGTAAAATTTTCATTTCCAATGCAGAATTTTCATAAGCAGAGAACAACTTTTCCTACTGTTACACTTTAGTTAATGGCTGACTTATTGTTATTGAATACACTTTTTTTTTTTTTTTTTTTTTTTTTTTTTTTTTTTTTTTTTTTTTTTTTTTTTTTTGAGATGGAATTTCTCTCTTGTTGCCCAGGCTGAAATGCAATGGCGTGATCTTGGCTCACTGCAACTTCCGCCTCCTAAGTTCAAGTGATTCTCCTGTCTCAGACTCTTGAGTAGCTGTGATTACAGGTGCATGCCACCATGCCTGGCTAATTTTGTATTTTTAGTAGAGACGGCATTTCAGCATGTTGGCCAGTCTGCTCTCAAACTCCTGACCTCTCAGGTGATTCACCTGCCTCATCCTCCCAACATGCTGCGGTTACAGGTGTGAGCCACTCACCCAGCCTAAATACACATTTATAAACCTAGTAAATTAGATTGTCCTGAGACCTTCAAAGACGTTTTCAAAATACACAAAACAGTACACCTGTGATTATAAAACTTATTTCTTGCATAACACTATTAATACCATGGGTTTTATTCACTTTATATTTGCTGCATTTTTCTATATTTCCTGAATTGATAGTAATGTTTAATCATTGTCTGGGGTTAAATTAATAACAAACCACCTTCTTTTCACAAAACAAAGGGATGGGCAGTCAGACTGATGACTGGGACGTGGGATCTGATTGAGCTGTCCGGCTACTTTTCAAGGCATGCTGCTCTTTATTTTTATAGTCAAACAATAGTTTTAAAGCCAAGCAAATATAAGAAGAGCTTTGTGGTTTGGCCCTTCATTGCAATTTTTGCAAGCACTCAGGATACCATTAAATTTTATTTTTATTTTTGTTGCCTAATGCCTGTCCTTGAAATGTGGTCTTATTTGAGGCTTTCCTCTATCTAGGTTGCATAACACAGTTGTATCACAGATGTTGGCTCTATGTCTTTTGGTTTATTGTTTAAGCCTTCAGTTGGTTTGTGTAACCACTGTGCTTGTCAACCTGTGAGCTTACAGTCACAATTTCTACACAGCAGCCACAGATGGACCATCACACAGCATTTCCTATAAATAATATTGAAATTATTTCCTACTTCCTTTTAAACTCATCTTATTTGATTCTTCTGAATTTATTAACAGACTGTTGGCTTTGTAGTAACAATGTATTTCAGTTAACAGATGTTTGTTTTGTTCTTTTTTTAAAATTATACTTTAAGTTCTGGGGTACATGTGCAGAACGTGCAGGTTTGTTACATAGGTATACATGTGCCATGGTGGTTTGCGGCATCCATCACCCCATCATCTACATTAGATATTTATCCTAATGCTATCCCTTCCCAAGCCAATGCTCAAATTGTCACAGCTTTTCTATTGAGAATCTCTTTAAGTTGGTTACTTTCTTTTTTCCCTATCTCAAACATTCTTGCTTTCTGGCAACAATATCTTCCTCATTTTGAATTTTTCCAGTCCCTAAACACATAATCAGCTCCTCTCCTGGTTTTGTTTCAAAGGAGGAGAGATGTAAAAAACCAATTCTGAATACTCAGGGAACCTACAAGTTTTGCTACTGACAAAAAATACTGCTGCTCTTCTAAGACCATCTATCTCAGTGACAAAACTGAGATAGACATTCCATTTTGGTTTCTAAATATACTATGATGTAAGTTATATTGGTATTTAACTACGTTGCCCACCTTTCTTTTCTAAACATTCTTGCATTCAGAGACTGTCTGCTGGGCTGCACTTGCCCAACTGTCTCTTTCATAATTCCAATGTGTTGCGTCCACAGCTCTTGATGACTCCCATTTCTGACTCTATTCCTTTCTGAACCCACTTTTCTTTAGCATGCAGCATCCCTGTCTCACCTAAGACAGCCCTTTGCCAATGTCCTTTGTTTTAAACCCAGTGTTTTTTCTGCTTCGTGGTTCATTCCTTTCTTTTGATGGAGCAATAGTTTTCTAAGACAGAATACGTCAATTTTTATTTATTGTATATCTGAAAATATTTTTATTCTACTGTTAGATACTATTGAACCAAATAAGAACATTACTTATCACATCAGTATTATCAACCCCAACAGGGAGGAGACAGCTCTGGGCCACATTCCTGTCATCAGGAGCAATCAGACCCCAGAAGCAAGAGGACCCGCACCTGACCCAGTTTCCCCCTAGCATCTGAGTATGCCTGACAGCATCTGAATATCATTTTTCTATAAGTTCTGCTTTCCAAACCTAGTTTTAAAGCGGGTGGGAGAAAGAGAAAAGGAATAACTTAAGCTGCAATATGATCTAATACAACAAAATTAAGTTATGATTAAAAGGCCCCACCATCTCACCTTAAGGATAATGAATTTTGAAATATTTTACCTTGTCAGTGAATTTCATAAAAACAAGATCTGGAATGTCCGTCACGATGATCTTTGCAGGCCTGAACACTCTCAAAAGTACTGTGGTGTTGGCCAAACTCTGGAAGCCGGAGAGGCCTGTGAAACCCATGCGCTCAGGCGCTGGGGGAGGCGCAGGGTCCAGGCTGACTTCCGGACCCATCCCTAGCTCTCTCTCAAGGGTCTTCAACCCCCTGAGAAATTTCCAACGCACTGCTCTCTGCTGGGTCACCTATGACCAAGGGGCCCTGAGCCACAGCACGGAACTTTCTGCAACGCCCCCATCCCGTGGTGGCCCATCTGCTCCTGGACTCTTGGAGGTGCGCGCTCCCAGGGTCCTGGAGTCCTAGGGTCCTAGTGTTCTGAGGCGTCACGGCACCCTCCCACCCCCAAAAGCACTTCACCAGAGAGAATCGGGGCATCCTTGTCCGCACCCCAGCTTCTCAGCTCCTGGATGCTGAGCTGAGCTGAGCCTTTAGGCTCGTTCCCCAGCTCCACGCCATCGTCTCCGACACCCGCCGCTACTACACCAGGACCCACAGGGGTCGCAGCCAGGCGCAGCCACACCCCTGCCCTCGGGGAGGCCCCGGCCCGAGACCAAGTGAAGGAGGGAGCCCCGGGAGGGCGCTCAGGGCGCTTCGCAGGTTTCGCTTTCCCGGGCTCCTACCGTTTCCTGGGGGCGGGACAGGATAACCCGTTGCCTGTTTTTGGGAGCAGCTCCCAAAGCTAGACACATACCCCAGTTGTGGGCACCGCTGCCCAGGAGCGAGGAGAGACGGGTGGGAGTGGCGGGAATAGAGGTGTCGGGGCTGCGCGGGGTGTCAGATCCTAGTGGGCGGGGAGGTGGGCGGAGTCGGGTCCGGCCAGGCGCCACCCAGCACAGCGGGCGGCGGGCAGGAGGGCGGGGCGGGTCCCCAGGCTGCGGGGCTATCCTGGTGTGCAGCCAGCGGCCGCTCTGGGTGCAGATAAAAGCCCCTACTCTCCACTGTCAGGAAGTTTTCAATCGAGAGGTGCTACTCCACCCTGCACCCCACCCCAAGCTAATGTGTCTTTGTAGTGAACTGGGAATCATAACTTCAGGGACCAGAGAAGTGCCAGTTCTCTGCTACATGGACATAAGCTGCACATTGCGGAGCCGCATTGCCATGTGTGTACCTACGCAACAATTCTGCACGATCTGCACATGTACCCCAGAATCTAAAGTACAGGAAAATACATATATGTATAAACACATCTATGTAGGCCTCTTGGGATAAGAATTAGACTTTGGGGCACTCACAAATTAGAGAAATGAATGTGAAAACCTTATTTGCCATTTTAGAGCAGTCATGGGAAACAGAAAGATTTCGGATGACTGGGGGTGGGGAGAGTGCTAGCCAGATTTTTATTTTTATTTTTTTATTGGTAGATAATAGCCAACATAGTTTTAGGGTACATCATTTAATGCATTCATATAATTTGCAAATATGAAATCAGTGTTATTGGGGCTTCCAACACCTTAAATATTTGTCTTTTCTTTATGCAAAAACCCTCAAATTACTCTTCTAATTTTGAAATATACAATAGATTATTGTAAACTATTTTCCCCCTACTGATCTATTAGACACTAGATATTAGCTTCTATGAAACTGTATGTTTGTACCCATTAATCAACCTCTCTTCAACACTCCCTTCCCTCTACCCTTCCTCACCCCTGGAAAGCTCCAGTCTACTTTCTATCTTCATGAGATCCACCTTTTTTAGCTTCCACCTGTAAGTGAGAACATGCAGTATTTGGGTTATTGCACTTAACCTTATGACGTCTAGTTCCATCTATGTGGTTGCAAATGATACAATTTCATTTCATTATTTCCTATGCTGAATGATGTTCCATTGTGTATATATATCATATTTTCTTTATCCATCCACCCACTGATGGCGTGTAGGTTGGTTCCATATTTTCTCCATTGTGAATAGTGCTGCAATAAACTTCGGAGCATGGGCGTGCAGATGTTTCTCAATATAGTGATATCCTTTCTTTTGGATATACACCCAACAGTGGAATTATGGTAAGAAGTTAGTTCTTTTTTTTTTTTTTTTAGACAGAATTTTGCTCTTGTTGCCCAGGCTGGAGTGCAATGACAGGATCTGAGCCCACTGCAACCACAGCCTCCCAGGTTCAAGCGATTTTCCTGCCTCAGCTTCCCAAGTAGCTGGGATTACAGGCATGTGCCACCATGCCCAGCTAATTTTGTATTTTTAGTAGAGATGGGGTTTCACCATGTTGGTCAGGCTGGTATTTAACCCCTGACCTCAGGTAATCCACCTGCTTCAGCCTCCCAAACTGCTGGATTACAGGCGTGAGCCACCGCAGCCAGCCCCCTTGTCATTTTTACACAAGTCATTTTAACTAGAATAAGATGATAGCTCACTGTGGTTTTACTCTGCATTTCTCTGACGATTAGTGATGCTGGGCATTTCTTCATTTAACCGTTGGGTATTTGTATGTCTTCTTTAGAGAAATCTCTGTTTAGATCTTTTGCCCATTTTAAAAATCAAATTATTTGTTTTGTTTGGTTTTGCCGCTGCTAAATTGTTTGAGGTCCTTATATTTTCTGCTTATTAATCCCTTGTCAGATGGATAATTTGGAAAACTTTTCTCCCATTCTGTGGATTATTTCTTCCTTTTTTTGACTGTTTATTTTGCCGTGCAGAAGCTTTTTAGCTTGTTGTAATCCCATTTGTCTATTTTTGTTATGGTTTTCTGTGCTTTTGAGGTCTTGCAAAAAAAAAAAAAAAAAAAATCTCTGCCCAGACCAATATCCTATAGCGTTTCCTCAATGGTATCATAGCATCAGGTCATAGATTAAAGTATTTAATTCATTATGAATATATATATATATATACACACAAAGAGAGAGAGAGAGAGAGAGGAGTCTCATTTCATTCTCCTGCCAATGGTTATCCAGTTTTCAGAGCACCATTTACTGAAAAGACTGTCTTTTCCCCATTGCATGTTCTTAGCAACTTTGTCAAAAATGAGTTGGCTGCACATGTGTGGATTTATATCTGGGTTCTCTATGGCCTTCTGTTGGTCTATGTGTTTTTATGCTAGACTATACTGATTAGCTTACTATAGCTTTGTAGTATATTTTGAAATCAGGTAATGTGATACCTCCAGCTTTGCTTTTTTTTCTTTTTTCTTTCTTTTTTTTTTTGACTGCCTCCCAGGCTGGAGTGCAGTGGTGCAATCTGGGCTCACCGCAAGTTTCACTTCCCGGGTTCTAGTGATTCACTTCCCTCAGCCTCCTGAATGGCTCAGATTGCAGACATGCACCACCACGCCTGGCTAATTTTTGTATTTTTAGTAGAGATGGAGTTTCTACACGTTGGTCAGGCTTGTCTCAAACACCTGACCTCATGATCCTCCTGCCTCTGCCTCCCAAAGACTGGGATTACAGGCATGCGCCACCGTGCCTGGTCCCCAGCTTTGTTTTCTTTGCTCAGGATTGCTTTGGCTATCTGCGGTCATTTGTGGTCCCACACAAAATTGTAGGATTGTTTTTCTATTTCTGTGAAGAATGATGTTGGTATTTTGATAGGGATTGCACTGAATCAGTAAATTGCTTTGGGTGGTATTGTAATTTTAACATTAATTCTTCCAATCTATGATGTTGAAGAGTATGAATATCTTTCTACTTTGTCTGAGTCCTCTTCAATTTTTTTCATGAATATTTTATAGTTTATCTTGCAGATATCTTTTACTTCTTTGGCTAAGTTAATTACCAGGTATAACACATTTTATTTTATTTTTTTAGCTATTGTAAGTGGTATTCCATTCCTGATTTCTTTTTCTGATTTTTCACTGTTGTATAAAAATCTTTCTGATTTTTGTAAGTCAATGTTGCATGCTACAGCTTCCCTGCTTCACTGATAAGTTTTAACAGACATTTGGTGGAGTCTTTAGGTTTTTCTAAGTACAAGATTATGTCATCTGCAAACAAAGCTAATTTGAATTTTTCCTTTCCAATTTGGGTGCCTTTATTTCTTTCTCTTGCCTAATTGCTCTGGCCAGGGCTTCCACTAAGACATTAAATAAAGGGAGTGAAAATTAGGCATCCTTGTCTTGTTGCAGATCTTATTGAAGTATTTTCAATTTTTCCCCATTTAGTATGATATTAATTGTGTGCTTGTCATTTACAGCCTTTATTATTTTGAGGTATATTTTTTCTACACCCAGTTTGTTGAAAGTTTCTATCATAAAGGCATATAGAATTGTATTAAGTTTTTTCAGCATCTATTGAAATAATCACATAGTTTTTGTTTTTGGCTTTGTTAATGAGATACATTGCATTTATTGATTCATGTAAATCGAACCATCCCTGCAAACCTGGGATGAATCTCACTGAGGGAAGCTTTCCCAGAGCTCTCCAGTTTGATAATTCTGTTTTTAAAAATTCCCGTGGCCACTGTACACTTCAATCTAATTAAATCTTAGGGAACGGAACCAGGCAGCAGTAATTCATAAAGCTCTCCAGGTGATTTTAGTGTGGAATCCTAAAAGTAACTGTTCGCAAGAACATCTCCTCAGTAGTCTTGATGCAGGATTCACCCTCATCTTTTCTCCATGATTTTGAAAACCCCTCTCTCAAGTAGCTAAAGACTCACATTTGAACTGTGCCCAAATTTTCCTGCTCTTACAATTGGAAAATGTCAAAGTCACTTCTTCCCCATTGTGTACCAAGTCCTCCTTGTGGTTTAGATCCAGTTCTAGACTTTGGGACCAAATTCATTCATCCACCCTTTTTTCTCCTTGACTAGCTCAACAAGTTAAAATATGATAAATACTTTTTACCTCATTCCCACTGCTTAGTTGTTCCAAAGTTGTTTGTCAAGGACATAATTTGGTCACTGAGACTTTCATTGTAAACACAAGTATCTCAGCCGGGAAAAATAGTGCCTGCAAATGCAGAGAGGCATGAGATGGCACTATGATGACGTTGGAGAACTGTGACTATGTCGTGCCTGCAGTGGCACAGACAGCTGGAATGAGGCACCACAGGAAATCCTCTGTTGTGTCTACAGGCCGGATCATGAAGGGCCATTTGAACTCTTGGGGGGAGTTTCTTCATTCCCGTGTAGACTATGGGGAATCACTAAAAGATTTTAAGCTGCGAGAAACATAGTCATATTTGTATTTTATAAAGATCCCTCTGGCTGCATCATGGAAGATATTATAGAAGGCTACCATTGAATGCTGTGAGGTATTAGGGGGACATAGCATGGGTGAGAGATGAGGAAAGCTGAAATAAGGCAGAGGCAAGAGAAATGGAGAGGAGGAATTTCTAGGACATAGAGTAGGCATCACTTCTTGGGCCATGAAAGGAAGAGGGAGTGGGAAGTATCAAAGATTAATCCAAGAAAGAATGAAACCAATTTTTGGAATAATGCAATGAAATGTGAAATCAGTCTGTTTTCCTAAATGTGAAATCTGTCTGCAAGTCTATATTCATGAGGATTAATTGTATTTGTTTTCTGAGTATGGACAATTTAAATATTGGGCCCTAAAAAGGGACCCATCCTTCTAGGTAACTAGAGCCTAATTTCAGACAACCTGAACAGGCTCCCCACTCATGAATCCTGTCCGTTGGCCCACCAGGAAGGTGTCAGGTACCTCATAAGAAGGTTCCAGACTATATCATTCAGTGTCTCAGAAACTGTACTCAGCTTCATCTTCTGTCTTCTTGCCGTATACATACTTTTCATCTCTTCAATCAGTACTGGGGAGTATCTGCTGGTTCTCAACTCCCGACTCAACCTTGACCTAGTTTTGTCTG